AATTGCCTCCAACAGACAAGGGTTCTTTCTCCCACCCTGGACGTTATTTCACAGGGATATAAACCCTACTTGGTTGCTAGAGCGCGCGCCTGCCTCCCTCCCTCCGCCAAACCGGCAGCCGAGGGCTCCATGTGCTCCTTCCTTAAAGAGACAGGCAGCAGCACACTGTTTTTCTCTCTCCCTCTCCTTTCGCCCGCTTGGAGAAGCGAGCAAGCAAGACAAGCAGCCCACAGCCAGGGATTTGGCACGTAAGTTGCTTCAGCCGCCCCTGATGCAGCGCTATTATACAGTACTTCACTCACTATGCAGCCGCATGTGGAGGAGGAGGAGTGTTGGAAAACGGGGAGAGGGGAAAGAGGGCGGGGAGAGCAGCCCAGGCCGAGAAAGAGGGGAATGGCACCAGCACTCCAGCAGCCTCCATCCCATTAACGAAACGAGCGGAAGCTCGTTAAATTTATGGGGGCTGCCGGTTCGATATTTTTAAACCCTTCCGGGTTTGAAAATGTGTTTTGATATTGCTTCAAAAATGCAAAAATAACGAATTAATAACGAAATAACGAAATAACGAACTAAATTGCACAGGCCTAATAGTTACACCTTCCTTGGGTAATGTAAAGCATCTCAAACAGGACTTGAACAGACACATTCTATTAATTTGATGTCATTTCTGAAATCAATGAACTATAATCACCTCAGTGGTATACGGGGATCTTGAAATAACCTCTGGGGCCATCCAATAAGGTGTTCCTACTAATGACTTCCTTTTTGGCACATCTTTACTGATTTGAGCACAAAAGCCAAAATCAGAGAGTTTCACCTATTCAAAAGAGAAAAACAATAATCATTGCACATCCAGAGCAAAGGAGGAGGAATAGGACAAAGGGGTATATAGTGGGGAACAAAGAATTAATGTCACCTTTCCCTACATCAAAACCCCAGCCTGGATCACCACCCCCACCACCTTATGAAACAATTTATTTTTTAATAAAAAATATTCAAAATTACTAATTACACGGATTTCCAGAAAGAATTTGAAATCCTAGTTATAACTTTTAATGTCCTTGGTGGCTCAGGTGATCCAGACTATTTGAAAGATCATATATCCATCAGGCATGTAGCCGGGGGGGGGGGGGGGGGCCAATTACAAAACGATTTTAGAAACAAATTTTTTCTTGATCAAACAGGCCTACTGGACACTAATATTTTTCTGTGCTTGAAATCAGTGCCCTGGTTGGCTTGAAATCTCATTACTTGAAGCAGAACCTCTCTCTCTCTCTCTCTCTGAGTGTATGTATATGTGTGTGTATGCCTGAAAACTTGTTTAATTTGTTAGATTGTTAAAATACATTTAGGATTGTAACAGGTAAAGTGTGGCTTTCTTGAGTATATGATAGGTATTACCATCATATTTGGGGTCCCATCCCCCCCAGGTTCAGCAATTCAAAATTTGTCAAGTTTTTGCTCCAAATTACCTCCAAAATGCCCTCTAGAAATTGGAACCATTAGACCAGTTTGGTCCCAAGAAAGGATTTTCCTGAAGCACAAAAGTGAACAGGAATTGACATCGCTTCCTTCTTGTTTTTCATATGCATCTATTAGGCCTAAAATGGTACAGGAAGATCCAAAAGCATAGTTAAAAATGCCTTCTTGTTCCCTTGAGGGCATTTTTGGGGCAAAACAATTATTTCCTTTTTGCAGGAGTAGATACAGTGAGGGCATGGCCCATCAAGGTATCAGGGGGAGTATTATCTACACCAGGGGTCCTCAAACTAAGGCCTGGGGGCCGGATATGGCCCTCCAAGGTCATTTACCTGACCCTCGCTCAGGGTCAACCTAAGTCTGAAACGACTTGAAAGCACACAACAACAACAGCAACAATCCTATATCATCAGCCAAACGCAGGTCTACACTTCCAATTGAAATACTAATAAGTTTATATTTATTAAAATTGTTCTTCATTGCTTTCAGGTGTTTTTTTTTTTTGCACTACAAATAAGATATGTGCAGTGTGCTTAGGAATTCATTCATGTTGTTTTTCAAATTATAATCCGGCCCTCCAACAGTTTGAAGGACTGTGACCTGGCCCTCTGTTTAAAAAGTTTGAGGACCCCTGATCTACACCCTAGACTTTCACAGCTGCCTTCTCCTGTTTTAGACTTATTAATATTTACCCTTAAACAGTGTTATAAATTTCATTGTTCAAAATTGACTTTATTTATATACTTCTTTAGACCCTGTGTTCTAAGGAGAAATATAAATATTAAATTAAAAGAAGTCATACTTTGGATTAGCACAATTGATTTTGTGCTTCAATGAAGGAATTTGGAGAGTGTATGTATCTTTAGAAGAAAGGCTATAAATTTTACAGCCTCAATTACAAAATGTATGCATTTATCTGTACTGGATTTTTAAAACTCTGAATGTAAACTTCTGAAAAGTAGAAGTGGCCTGAACAAAATGACCATGACCAAGCGGAACTAGTGTGGAATGTGTTTTGCTGAGTGTGTTCAATATCTCTGCTTCGCCTAACTCATCTGGGTGGTGGAACATAATCTATTTCTTGTGGAAGGGAATGGCCATCATAACTCTCTCCCAAAGTCCTGCATCTGTGTAAGTTATAATCCGCTCCTCTAGCAGCAGAAATAAATTGCCCCACTACCAGTTGTTAATCATTCCCAGAGTATAACTAGACACATTCATTTCTTTCCAAGTCTCCCTTCGTTTTAGATTGGATTGCTAGCATTCTGTCTTACAGACAATCCATGTTGACAAGGGAGATTTTTAATTTCTGTTTGTGCAGTTTCTATGTGTCTTTAGTGGCATGGAATAGAATGAGAGTGAGAAATAGTAAGGAAAGAGTGTTGCCTCAAACGGTACCTTGTTGTCTTCTCTTTCCCTCTCCAGGAATGATAGCCATTAGCAGAATGGCGGTGCTGTACCCACAAGTGATAGTGGACCACCCTTTTTTCTTTGTGGTTAGGAACAGAAGAACAGGTCAGTATATCAGTCTCTCCTACTTCTTTTTCCTTCTTAGTTCTGGTGAATTCTCTCTAGAATCTTATATATTCACATATGTACCATATCCCCAGGATTGGCTTTAGCATCAAGTGGCCACATCTGGTAGGAAATGTTAATAAATGTGTGGCAGTAACAAGCAAAAGCACCAAACTTTGTCTGCTCAGCCATCCCAACACCATCTAAACTAGCCTGCCCTCTCCACCCTCCAGTTGTGACAAAAACATCAATTTTCCTGTGCTGCTGTAAAATTCTACTCCCAGCCAAATCAGCATTTCACACGAAATGGAAGAGATCTGACCCTTGAACCATTTTACATTTTCCATGTCAGATAATTTTTCTATCCTGCCCAATGTTGTTTAGGCCAGATCTTTGTGATCTCAGGTGGACATCTTTCACACCATCTGCATTCCTTTGATTTTTTTTAAGCCTGGGAGGAAGTCCCAACGTCTTGAATTGCGTAAAATAAAAATAACGCAGAGGGGAATTCACAGGGCAGTTTTTCAAAAATAAGGGACTCTAAAATAGAAAAAATCACACTGGAAATTTGTGACAGATTGAGCATGCCTTATTTGAAATGCTTGGGACCATATTTTGTATTGAGGGGGAGGGAAGTTTGAATACTTGAATATATTATGAGATATCCTGAAGATGGTAATCAATTCGAAACACAAAATTCACTTATGATCCAGATCCATATACCCTGGAAGTAATTTTGCACATAATATTTTAATAATTTTAATCCTGCTTTGCAGGGTGGGTTGGCAAATGCTATTAATCCAATAGATCAGCGGTTCTCAACCTGTGGGTCGCGACCCCATGGAGATCAAACGGCCATTCCACAAGGGGCCACTGTTTCTGCTTCTTCTATCTTTCCTCCTCCTCCTGGATAGAAGGAATGGAGATAAAGCTTCAGTGGAAACTCTTTTCCCCTTGATAACCCTTTCAGGAGAGAATTTCTCTTCCAAAGGATAGATTCCTCTCCCTCCCTGTTCTCTTTAACTAGGAGTCATTTGTAACTCAGGGATGGCCTGTAGTCAGAAGAATAACATCATCACACAAACATGGACAGTCCTAAGGGATGAAGTTATGAAGTAACAACAAAAATAGTTTTATGGTTGGGGGTCACCACAATATGAGGAACTGTATGAAAGGGTCATGGCATTAGGATACTGCTATAGATAGATATCTGGTGTTTCAAATGAAGTATATTCATCTGATTTTATTTCTGTGAGCAAAATATCCAAACCTCGGTGCAACTTTAGTCAACATTATAATTTTTTAATGAGTCTGATTACCTCTCTAAGTCCTATATGAGGAGAAAGATCGGATAAAATAAATACAATACAGTACTGAGTGCTGACAAAGCCTGGAAACGCATGGCTGAGTTTTTGAAAAGTAATATTTCTAAGCTCTGTAAGTAGATCAGTATGTTTTTAATATATGTTGATTCTCTGTTCATATGCATTCATTCCCAAATGGCAGGCATATGCCCAGTATTTTAAATGCAAGCTGAACATATGGGAATTGTATCTGGATTGACCTTAGGTTAATTTAAAATTCTAAACCTAAGCTGAGCAGAGGAATTCCTGGGACCGCATATAGATCCCCGCAGGAATGATGGGGAAATTGGTGGCTGACGGTGCCTCAAGACTTCCTTGGACCATCCTTTACAGTTCAAACCAAACTGAATTGTAAATTGCTTCTTCTGAAACCCTTTTAGTTCACCATTTGAAATATGTTCCAGAAACCATCTTCACTGTTTAACTTTTTTCAGATGCCCACTTTGCAAACCCAGAAGCAGTTTTTTGACTGGCTCCAGTTTTGATTTGCTTTTCTTTTCCGTGGGAGGCATTTCTGGCTTCCTGCTGAAAACCATCAACAATTGCCCACCATTGCTTTAAATACTCTCATTAATGTTTCTGGCCCCGGAGGGGGGAAGAGTTTTGCAAAGCGATTCCTTGTCACTGATTTTATAATAATAATAAAAGATTTCTGAGAAACCTGCCTGATGCAAGGGCAATGTGAATGCCTGCAATTTGCAACAGGGAGCTGAAATCTCAAATCTATAGTTGCCTTCTTAAAATTTCTGTCCTGCTGTCTTCCTTTCATCTCTACTGAGGGAAAGCTGTCTTTGATATTGCAAGTGCATTGTCTCAGTCAGATCATCAGGTTTGGAGCCTTGTGTAACATTGTTTGCTGGCTATGGCAGTAGAATTGTAAAAATTCTTTGATCCGAGAGCATCCAGAATATCGGTATGATCTGTTATTTATGTGCTGGACAGGAAGACCGATGAGAATTGCCTCCTCTATAATAGAACAGATTGATTTAAGAGCATACAGTGCATGGGGGAAACTGGCTGTATTCTTGGGTCTGGGTAGAAGCTGAGTGCCGAAGCACGTGCCTTGCATTCAAGAAGGTCTCAAGCTCAAATCCCAATGTCATCAATTAAAAAGAATTTTTGGGGTTCCTGGACTAGGGAAAAGCTATATGAGACTTGAGAAAACCACTTACCAGTCTGTTTCAACAGCTCTGGGTGAAAGGATGAGTGATCAGATTAACAGTGCAATCCTGTGTATGACTACCCAGAGGCAAAGCTTACTGGCTGGTCTTATTCCCTCCCTGCTAAGTGGATATTGAACTGAAAAAGGGTAAATGAAGTTGTAGTCTATATCAGGCGGGAAACTATATAGAGGACAGGGGCCTATTTCCCTTCACACACAGCCCCACCACCACCACAGGGGACTACAGAGCAAAAATGCAGGCGATTGAGGGATGGGATCCTGGGGTAGGGTGTGTATATTTTAGATGTTTTCACATATTTGTGGATCTTTCTGTATATTTTGGGATAAACATTGCCAGAAATCTGGATGAATTTTATTTAATTGGCAGTTGGAGAACTTCAGGGGCCATATATGTGTGGAGTCCACAAGCTGGTTGTGACCCACGTTCTACATAGTGTCCACCCGCTGCTGTGTAAGAACACCTAACATTTTAAAGTGAGAGCTTGGAAAAGGCACTTTGGGGGCTCTTGGTCCACTGCCCCTGATTGTGCTGAATAAAAATAGCAATATGACATCTTAGCAATATAATAGGTGAGATAAAACATTCCTTCATAGAAACCCATTATTTAAACCAGCAAACCCATTATTTAAACCAGTTCTGAATTATTTTGGATGTAGATGGTCCAAGAAAATGTGCTTTTTAATTGAAATTGTAATGTAATTGACATTTAATCCAAATCTTTGCAAAATCCAAAAGTAATAGAAAACATTATCTGTCCTCTTTTTTCTCAGTGAGCATACAGACTGATTGAAAAATACCAGATTTTGTTCCTGTTCTTTCTGATGTTGTACTGGGTTAAAATAAACTGACTTGGGGATCTGGTTTTAAAAAGTAACTCATTGTAGTGAAAGCAAAAAGAAAATATTCTGAAAGAAACAAACATTTGTGAATTCCCAAAATAAGAATAGGAACAAGATAATAGAATCATTGAGTTGGAAAGAGACCTCATGGACCATTTGGTCCAACCCCCTGCCATGCAGGAGAAGCACTATCAAAGCACATCCAACAAGGCCTCTGTTTAGAAGCTTCCAAAGAAGCAGCTTCCACCAAACTCTGAGGCAGTGAGTTCAGCTGTTGAACAGCTCTTACAGTCAGGAAGTTCTTCCTAATGTTCAAGTGGAATCTCCTTTCCTGTAGTTTGAACCCTTTGCTCTGAGTCCTAGTCTCCAGGACAGCAGAAAACAGTCCTGCTTCCTCTTCCTTATGACATCTTTTCAAATATTTAAACATGGCTATCATGTCTCCTCTCAACCTTCTCTTCTGCTGGCTAAACATCCCCAGCTCTTTAGCTGCTCCTCATACAGCATTGTCTCCAGACCTTTGATCATTTTAGTTGCCATCCTCTGGACACCTACCATCATGTCAATATCTCTCTTGAATTGTGGTGCCCAGAATTGGACACAGTATTCCAGGTGAGGTCTGACCAAAGCAGAATAGAGAGGCACCATTCTGATACTCGTTCTGATGCAGCCCAAAATCCTATTGGCTTTTTTAGCTGCTGCATTATATTGTTGGCTTGTGTTTAACTTGTTAAACATGACGCCAAGATCTTTTTTCACCTTGTCAAGCTAGGCATTACCTATCCTGTATCTTTACATTCCATTTTTTTCTGATTAAGTGTAGCCCAAGTCTCTAATCTGTTGAGGTCATTTTGAATCCTGATCCTGTCTTCTGGGGCATTAGCTGTCCCTTCTAATTTGGTGTCATCTGCAAATTTGATAAGCACACCCTCTAAACTCTCATCTAAGTCATTAACAAAGATGTTAGCCTAGGACAGAACCCTGTGGCACCTCACTCATCACTTCTTTCCAGATGAAGAGAAATTGTTGGTGAGCATCCTTTGGGTTCACTCACTTAACCAATTACAAATCTGCCTAACAGTAGTATCATGTAGCCTATATTTTACTAGTTTGTTTGAAAGAAGATCATGGGGGACCTTGTCAAAGGCCTTACTTTTTTTTTCCATGTCAGGAGTGACTTGAGAAATTCCAAGTCGCTTCTGGTGTGAGAGAATTGGCCATTTGCAAGGACGTTGCCCTGGGGACACCCGGATGTTTTTGATGTAGGAGGTTTCTCTCATGTCCCTGCAGGGGGAGCTGGAGCTGATAGAGGGAGCTCATCTGCTCTCTTCCCAGATTTGAACCTCCGACCTGTTGGTCTTCAGGCCTGCCGGCACAAGGGTTTAACCCATTGAGCCACCGGTGGCTCCAAAGGTCTTACTGAAATCAAGATATGCTACACCTACAGCATTCCCTGCATCTACCAAGCTTGTAACTATTGAAAAAAATCTGTGACTTTCTGGTCTTTTTCATCAGTTTGGATATGCTCTCAGCTAACTATTTTATCATCTCTCTTGTGGGTGATTGAGGCAAACTGTAAAGACAAATGACTTACTCCAAATAGATCACTTCTTAGAGCTAAACCTAAGCACCAAATCCTACTTGATCATAAAAGCTAAGTATGATCAGCCATTCTTAGTACTTCATTGGTAGAACGCCAATGAATACCAGATATTTTGGGTTATATTTCAGAGGAAGGAATAGATAAAGCCACCTCTGAGTAGTCCTTGCCTAGGAAAATCCTATAGAATTCATGGGATAATTATTAACTTGGAAGACAAATATACACACAAACACACATTTTCCCCTGTGTCATTTTATTCCATGAAAATCAGTAGAGGTGGAATTTAAGGGTGGAATTTTAACCTTTTCTCCTCTGTCTTTTCTCCACCTTAAATCACACCAATTAATTTGGGAAGATGCGATAGAAAGAGAGATATGCATAATGTAGTTCTCTGTCTTCCCATTCTGTAGCTTTAAGCAACCCAGGGAAGAGATTTCAGGTTGCAAAGTTGTGTAGTAATGAGGTAAGCATCCCTCCTCTTTGGGATGTCACTTGTTTTGAACTACAGTCCCCAAACACCCTCAACCAGTATGGTCAGTAACTCTGCTGGCTGGGGGAGTCTAGAAATCATAGTCCAAAAAGTTCCTTTTCCCAATCTCTATCGCAACGCAGAGGACGTAATCATATTTCACATTAGTGATTCTCAATGCTGTTTTTGATTAATGTGAATGATGTCAAGTGGGTTTCCTGTACCACATGTATTTTCACCATGATTTTTTCAGTCTTGAATACATAAAGCAGAACAAGCTTTCTCTATCTTGTACTCTAACAATGCCCTCCTCCTTTGTATATCTATTTCTTCCTCCTATCTCTTTAATTTTTCTCTCTCCTTTAGGTACCATCATTTTTCTGGGGAGAGTTATGCACCCAGAAGCAATGAATACAAGTGCCCATGACTTTGAAGAACTGTAATATCTCCGCAGGCTCACACACCCACACAGAGAAAAATAAGCACACTGAGTTGCAATTGATGTATTTAAGGTTTGCCGTGTGGTTTTCTTTCTCTCTCTTTTTTTGCAATGTTACCTTTGAGATACTGTTTGGAAAGAAAAACAAACAAACAAGCAAACAAACTTCCAGATTTAACTTCAGCTACAAATTGAAGGTTGTGGCTATGGAAGAAAAGCTTTCAGTATTAAAGTAAATATTGTTGTCCTTGTGAATTGTGGTGGTGGTGGTCCTTTAAAATAAAAGCTGTATAAATGTCAGTGGCTGTGTTTCCTGTCTCAGTCAACCGTATTGTTGATCTTTCTCTCTCTATCTTTCCCTTACATATCTAATGAAGCATACTTTGTCCCAGGGCCTATAGAGTCCCAAAAGAAATAAAAGCTCCTAGAAGAACAAGGGCTAAATTTCCAAAGAAGAGCTAAGCTCTTGCATCTCAGAGTGAGTTGCTATTCTGCATTCCACTTGAGATGAAGGGGATTTCAAGATGGAATCTCCAAAAAAAATTTCAGTGCAATTTGTGAGAAAGGAAAAAATTAAGATCTTGGTTTGTTGGCTTTCACTTTTCTTTCCTGGAACTTCCTAGAACAATAGATTCCTTTTTCTAGTGATTCTGCAGGGCTCACACGTTTGTGTGCATAGTCTTTTTTATGAGCCATCCATGCCTAATGCAACACTGAGACCTCTTGTGCCAAGCTCCATTCTGCACATGAAAGCGTTGGTGCCATTTGAAGATGCAGCATTCAGCAGAGCTTGGAATACCTTCAAAAAGTATTAATATTTGGTTGTTTCTTTGTCTTCCATGCATGGCACATCTGTGCCCGTTATATTACCACATTACTTATTGCACACTCCTTTAAAAATGCTGATGCTGTGAACAGATTACGTTTGGAGACTTAAATAGTCAGAATTGACTCCAAAAATAAAATTTGCAAATGAGTGAATATTACAAATAAGTAAAAATTAGAGGCAGTGTGGTGTAGTGGTTTGAACGTTGGGTTGTGACTCTGGAAACCGGGGTTCAAATCCTTTCTTGGCCATACAAAACACTGGGTGGATAAACTTCTGCAAGTTGCTGCCTCAGAGGAAGGCAAACCCCTTCTGAACAAACCTTAGCAAGAAATGCAATGATAAGTTTTCCCTGGAGGTCACCATAAGTTGGCAACTACTTGGGTGCATGTAGCAATTAACTGTTGGATTATTATATTTATATTTATTTATACCCAGCTTTATCTCTCCCAAAGGGGATTTAACATAAAAGCATTAGCATACAATTTAAAATATACCAATATGCAAACATTAAAACAGAATTCAATGTAAACAGTATTAAAATTATGTTAAAAACCATTAAAACATATTCAAAGTTGCAACCATTTTTGAAAACAACTAACAATATTATAGTGCTCCTTTCACACTTGCAATAGTTAGCGGTGCAAGATCCACATGAAAGTGAGAAAACCCCAATATAAATAAAAAATGCAAACATTGTCACTTATTTTTCTCAAGGGAGCACTTCTCTTGGCATTTGGAGATTCCCTAACATGATTCTATGGTCAACCTTCAGCATAAGTTAACCATAGAATCATACTAGAGGACCTACAAATGCCTAGAGAGAAAGCAGATATCTAAATCCATGAATGTTTAACTTGCAATTGTGGAGAGTCAACTACATTAGAGATAATTGCATTAGTCCATAAAATATTACAATGCCCTTGTTATGCACTTTTGATTAAGAAGCAACATTCTGGTGAGGTTTTTTTTAAACATCCACTGTTCAGATGCAGCCAACATAGCATACTGGTTTTAATGCTGGACTAGGAGTCTGGGAGACCAGGATCTGAATCTCCTTACAACCACGAAAACTGGTGAGTCACACACTCTCAGCCTTAAGAGAGTGTGAAATAAAGTCTTATGATAAGAAAGTCGTATGATAAGATCTCCATGAGGCTGAGTTGACCTTTGGATCCCAACTCCAAATGGGCTCTTCTGGGCTCAATATTGCTGTCATGGAAAAATTGACAACAGTTATTATTATTATTATTATTATTATTATTATTATTATTATTATTACTTGTCTCCCCTCGTGGCTCGAGGTGGGTTACAAAATACATAAAACACATAAACATTAAAAAAATACCACAAATACACATATTAAAATGTATTTCTATAAAAGTTGCATATTAAAACATATTTCTATGAAATACATATTAAAATATACAAAATAGGGATTAAGCAAAGGACATGAATTTAAAATTCATGCTTAGAACTGGCTGGGAGGCCTGCCAGAAGAGATAGGTCTTTGGATAGTTTTTAAATTCTGACTGCTCATTTCGCTGCAAAATATCTTTTGACAGGTCATTCCACAGACTTGGGGAGGCCAATGAAAAGGTCCTCTAGGTGACGGGCACAGCCAGGTTCTGGCAGGCTGGAGTAGCCACTCCCCAGAGGACCTAAGTGTTCAGGGCAGATTGTATGGGAGAAAGTGATCTCTTAGGTAAACTTGACCCAAACCATGTAGGGCTTTAAAGGTCAAAACCAGCACCTTGTAATTATGTTTAAGCAAGTAACAAGACTGAACAAACAAAAGGACATTACAAATAGATGGAAGGACTACTTCAACTGGGTGAAAAATGGTGGAGCCAACAATCTCATCAAAGAAAAAATAAAAAGACTTTACCAGTGGCTGGACCTGCATGATTAGTAGAAATATACTGTAGTTAGGAAGGGAGGGGGAGAGAGGGAGGGGGAGAGAGGGAGGGAGGGGAAAATATACAATGATTTAGAAGGCAAATGTTAAAGAAAGGGAAGTACTATTGTTATGATTATGATTACAAAATTCAATCAACATCTTGAAATGGAAAAAAAAAAAGCACCTTGTACTTTGGCTGGAAACTAATTGTCAGCCAGTGGAGTAACTTTAGGATAGGTGTAATATGCTCATTCCTAGATCTTTCTGTAACCAATCTGGTTGACGTATTTTGAACCATATATAGTTTCGAAACTTGGTACAAAGGTAGCCCAATGTAAAGCTCATTGTAGAAGTCCGACCTTAAGGTTACCAATGCGTGCACTACCATCTTTAGGTCCTCCAAACCTAGGAAGGGACGCAGCTAGCAAATCAGCCAAAGCTTGGTAGTAAGCATACTTGACTGTCGCATCTACCTGGGCTGACATTTGGAGACATGGATCCAGGAGCACTCCCAAGCTGCAAACACAGTAAAAGGCTTCTGAATGCCACCCATTTGCACAAATCTGTTAGCAACACTGCTGTGTTTAGAGTGGACTCCATAGAAAAAGTTCCAGCTGTACTCCACAAAAAGGAAAATCAGCCTGTCAAGCAAGCCTTGCAAATGCTGATTTATTATCCTTAATATTTGATATATTTTATATTTCTTTTGGAGACCCTGGTGGCGCAGCGGGTTAAACCACTAAGCTGCTGAATTGGCTGACCAAAATGTTGGCGGTTGGAACCTGAGGAATGGGGTGAGCTCCTGCTGTTAGCCCCTGCTTCTGCCAACCTAATAGTTTGAAAACATGAAAATGTGAGTAGATCAACAGGTACCATTTTAGGAGGAAGGTAACGGCACTCAGTACAGTCATGCTGGCCACATGACCTTGGAGATGTCTACAGACAATGCTGGCTCTTTAGTTTAAAAATGGACATGAGCACCACCCCCAGAGTCAGACACAACTAGACTTAATGTCAAGGGGAAACCTTTACCTTTACCTTATATCTATTTTATATTACTATATACATACACACCTGGGGCCATGTAAATAATTATTGGGCAGAAAGGTGACGTGAGTGGGAAATGTTTAAGAAGCCCTGACCTTGAAGACTCAGCCGTCATATCATTCAGGAGCATCGACTTGTGAGTGGCATCACCTTATAGCCGAAAAGATCCTAAGAATAATGCTACTTCATTTCATAGCATACGTGTGAGGCACTCTGGGAAATTAAACATGGCAGCTAGAAGCAGCAAAGATCCAGAAGATGGTTGAGCATTTCCACTTAGCCATGAAATCACCAAAACAGGATAAACATGAACCATGCATCCTGTCCTTTTCAGTTCTCACCAAAGTATTAGTCTATGCAGTGGACTTGTTCTGTCAACTGAACTACTCTTTTGCAGAGGTGTGAATTATGAGGTCCAGCAGATTTTGTTGGCCGGCATGCCAATTCCCAGCAGCCCTACCATAGTGAGGGATGCTGGGAGTAACAGTCCAACATTAGGAAAGTTGCATAATTTCCTTTTGCTGCCCCTACTTTCTTCAGTGTGAGTAGTATGCCTGCTACTTTAAACCAGGAGGGGAAAAAAAACATTGGGTTTATGATTTTAGAGACCACTGCTGGGATAGTGCAAAGGCTTGTACTGCCTTGAAATTGAAAATCTGTCATTGTAAATTGCAAAATGTCATTATTGATGTGGGAGGAGTTAATTATTTATCAGATTTTAATGTGATTCCTTCCTGCAAGCAAATTACAGGAATCCATATGATTCTTTCAGCAACATGTCAGACTGCTCAGGAAAATCGGTAAATGATGATTGCGGTGGCGTCTGGCTTGCACAGAAATAATCTCTTTTGTTAATAAGTTTAAAAGCAAAAGTAAATATCAGACACAAAAAAAATACAAATAAAATGCAATCACACAACCATAAGGCTGAGAGATAGCCCAAATCAGTGTTAGGAAGAACCTTCATGAAGATATGTGTCTGTTAAGCAACTGGAAATCTGATTTTCTTTGATTATTGCTATGTTTTTAAAAGGTTGGGAGGAAATCCCCCTAAGATCCCTGGAACTCATCCCTGTCCTAACACATTTAAAAGCTCATTTCTCATTTAATACACATCAGCATCTGATGCTGTGAGTTCTCCTTAACTAATTATGTACGTAAAAGTAATGCCTGTGGCAGACAACCTTGCCGTACTATGACATGTCATCATGACAAAGCATCTGCTGCTGAATTCAGGGTTCAGTTCCCTTAAACTATGCACAGGAGGGCAAACAGAGAGCTAATTTCATGGGTTGTGCCCTGACTAAATAAGCAAAAATGCAGGGACAATAGAAACTCCTTTTTAAAAAAATATTGCTCAGGTTATGGTACAGTGCATGCGCTCCCAGACACCTTTATGTAGACAAAGAGTGCTCTCATGTGTGGAGGAATCCATTGTGGTTAGAAGCACCATAAAGAAAGAGGGCACAGGGAAGCCTTTATGTGCTCAGACAAGAGCATATTCTATTCTTCCAGATTCATGAACCC